AAGATCTTTTAATCGTCGCATTCCAATATTTTTTACCAATTTCTAAAATGTTGTAATCGACAATACCTTGGTAAATAAATCTGTCAAATTATTATCTGATCGGATTTGTTGTACATCAGTTTCATCATTCTTTTGCAAATCATGAGTAAAAAAAGAATTTTGGTGAAATATGTTTCGTCTTATCTCTTTTAATATATCTTCTTTTCAATTGAATTATACAAACTGCATTATTTTCATATAATATAGTTAGAGAATTTTTGTTTTCGAAAGATAACCCACAATTCTTCCGGATGTAGTGGGTCATTGATCTTAACCAAACACATTTTCGACTAGTCTCATGAATTGTTATTATTTTAGTATGATTCGATAAAGTGACGGTTAATAATTACTTTGTACATCACCAATTAATGACTATACCTCCATATATAAATAGATAACCAGTCTGAAATCTTGTTTATGCGGATTAGATAAATACTCAGCATCAATATAATCAAACAATTCAGGTTTGAATTTATTTGAATAAAAAAAATCAAAATCAATTGTTTCTTGGAGATAGCGAAAAATATGTTTAATATTATTCCAATGTCATCTTGTGGGCGAGAAACTAAATCTTGCTAATAAATTCAACGCAAATGATATATCAGGTCTTATATAACTAGCAAGATAAACTAGTGCACCAAATATACTAAGATATGATATTTCAGAACCAAATGTCTCTTCATCTTTCTCTTATGGTTTAAAATGATCCTTATTAGGATCTAATAATCTGACGATCATTAGAGTACTTAATATATGTATCTCATTCATATAAAATAGCTTTAATACTTTTCGAGTATAAGTAGTTTGATGGACAAAAATTTCACCTTTCAAATACTCAATTTATAAATCAAGACATAATTTTGTTTTTTTCAAAATTTTTGATCTCAAATTTCTTTTTTCAAATATTCAATAATATTTTGAATCTCTTCAAAAGTTCCAATAAGATTTATATCATCAATATATACAACAATTATCCCAAAATTTGATTTGATTTGCTTTGAATAAATATTTTTAGTATTTGATTTGCATGCTTCACGTATGTTAAATCTTTCGGAGATTCTCATATAAATATCATTTTTAATATTTTCATATAAATATGTAGTAATGACGTTCATTAGACGCATATCTAGTTTTTTATGCACTTCAAAACTCATAAGATATCTAAATGTGATAGCATCCACTACAAATAAATACGTTCATCGTAATCAAATCCAAACCTTTGTGAAAATTCTTGAACTACAAGTCATGCTTTGTACCTCACAATTTCATTTTTCTCATTTCTTTTTCTCACAAATACCCACTTATATTCTACTGACTTTATACCTTCAGGTGTTTATACTACAGGTCAAAAACTTTTTTTTAACCAATGAATCCAATTCAAATTGGATCGCATCTTTTCATTTTGGCCAATCATTTCTACGTCGATATTCATCAATCAATCTAGACTCATGATTCTCGTCATTTGCCACAATATCAAATGCTATATTATATGCAAAAATATTCTCAACAATTATTTATTTTCGGTTCCAACTATTTCTTGAAGTGACAAAATTTATTGAATTTTTTATAATTTTATTCTCTGTAAGAATTGACTCCTTAGAAGCGACCTCTTCAGGAGATTGAATTTTGTCACTAATTATTAATTTATCTACTCTTCTTTTCTTTCAAAAATTTTTATTTTTGGAACCAAAAGGTCTCCCATACTTCAGGCGCACTTGAAACTCATTAGCACTTATAATTTGTTCTTGAGGGACATTAATTTTAATCGAAACATTTTCAACAGGAATATGTGATTTAGTAACTTTTTTGGAATCATTAAATGCATTCAGTAATTGATTTACAATTTTTTACAAATGTATAATCTTTTGAATTTCTAATTCATATTCTTTAACACGAGAATCAAAGAAATCCAATGATATTTTTCAAGTGATTTTCTTTTTCGGTTGATTTTTATTTCCCTTAATATCGAAAAATGTAATTCATCAAAATGGTAATCTACAAATTTAGCAATAAATAAATCACCTATCAATGGTTCTATATACTAAATAATTGAAGGTGATTCATATCCGACGTATATTTCCAATCTTTTTTAAGGGCCCAATTTATGACGTTGGGATTGTGCAATTGGAACATATACTGCACAATCAAATATTTGTAAATTAGAAATGTTGGACTCATAATCAAAAGTTAATTATAGGGGTGAATAAATATAATAACTTGTCGGTCTAATTCTTACAAGTATTGCTGCATGTAATATAATATGTCCCAAACAGATGAAAGAAGTTTAGACCTTATCAACAATAATCTATCAATTAATTGTAACTGTTTAATAAATGATTCGACTAGACCATTTTGTGTATGAATATAAGTTGCAAGATGTTCAACAGTTATTCCAATGACCATACAATAATCGTCAAAAACATATGATGAATATTCGCCAACATTATTTAAACTAATTTTCTTTATTGGATAATCTATAATTATACTCGCAACTTAATTATTTGAGTAAGCAATCATGCAAACGTCAGGTTGCGAGTTGATAATAAATATACATGTGACTATTTAGTTGATGCATCACTTAGCACCATAAAATATTAAAATGATCCACATGATGAATCTACAAATTCACATATATCACCATGAATTCGTTCTAGAAATGTATGGGATTCAGTCCCAACTTTAACTGGCGATGGTCTAATAATTAATTTTTCTTGGGAACAAACAACACAGAAGAATTCATTTGCTTTTAATATCTTTTGATTTTTCAATAAATGACCACGTGAATTCTTGATTATTCATCCCATTATTATAGATTCAGGATGTCCGGGACGATCATGCCAAATCATAAAATCATTGGGATGAGTAGACTTCTGATCTATTAGGTGATAAATTTCAACTGCACTAATTTGTGCATAATATAAATCAGAAGAAAAAGAAGGTAATTTTTCTACTACATCTTTCCGCCTAAAAATGATACTTGTGATTAATAAACATTCTCTATTTGTCTTAGTCATTGTCTAGATATGATATCCATTTTCACAAATATTTTTAAAACTCAATAAATTTCTCCGAGACTTGAGAGAAAGTTGTGTATTATTTATGATAATTTTAGTCCCTTCAAGAAGAAATAGAATGGCTCTTTCGAAACTTTCAATCAATTTTGCACTACCACTAATGGTATTAACATTTGTCTCTCCCATTTTCAAATAAGAAAAATATTATTTATTTTTCAATATAGTGTGCGTAGTAACACTATCAATGAGACAAATGTCATCATCACCATTATTTAATCCCAAATATTTGGCACCCATTTCTCAATAAGTAGACAGAAGTTGACGGAAAAACACGAGCAGAATTTCAGCAGAATCTCTTGTTTCACTTTTACTCAAGGTAGAGGCTCCGTTTTCACTTTTTTTGCTCAAAAGTAGAGACTCATGCTGATAACGTGTTATAAAACTAATAAAATAAATTATTATAATAGGAATTGAAATATTAGAGATGGAAATAGAAAATTAGAGAATGATGAACTAGAAAATTAGAGAAGAAAATAGAAAATTACATAATGATGTTCTTATTGTTCCAAGTAATAAAAAAAGTACACCCAAAAAGTGCTAAGGTACCTCTATATATAGATATTACAAAATTAAAAGTAAATCAATTTTAGTAAACACTCATTACTACAAGAACATGAATAGTTATATGAAACGGTTCATCCAATACATGAATAGCTCTTATGGATTGAAAACACTTTTAGTTGATTCAATCCATTAAGCAATTAGTCTTTATTTAAGAAACATTAACAATATTAAGCTATTAGTCTTTATTTCACCAACACTGACCAATTAGATGTAGCAAAAAAAATGAGGATTAACCTATCAAACATTGATGTTGAATGAAAAACTCAGAAATGTTGAACAAAAGTATACAATACTTTTTTGAGCAACATTTAAACTTTTAGCTAAAATATAGCATTATAACTTTTAGCCGAAATATAGCAAACCAAGCCACCTTACCCCCACTCATCCATTTATTATACACCCGTATATTAACCCTAAGATTTTTTTTAACATATAAAGGCATATCTTTAACCAAAAAAAAAAATCATCCAGAGACGAAAATTTAGTAAAAACATAACTTAAGGTAATACAACCCAAAAGGGTGGAAAATAGGGGAAAAGAATACAACCCAAAAAGGGGGAAAAAAGAAGAAAAAAAAATGTATCAAATAGAGTACTTTGAGTCTTTTTTGAGCCTCTAAGTGATCAGCTCCTCCTAGAATCTTCAGTGGATGGTTCTTGTTGAGGATCCTTTCCTCACTTTGCCGTACATGCCTTACAATATCTGCAGTGGTTAGAGATACATCTTTCAGAGCCATTAGTGTCGTGTTATCCATCTCAATCGTTCGCTCTTCTTTTCGTTGAGAAGCAAGTTCACCAATACCAGCAAAAATCGCAGCCACAGCAAAGTTGTTGAGAAAGCCTTTTCCTTGTTCAGATTTTAGAAGTCTAAACAATTTGTTGATCGCCATTTGTGGGTGATTCTGAAGACTAGCTTTTTCTGAATTGAATGGGCAAGTCGCGGGTGTCCAACAATTAATCGCTGGGATTAAGTAGTGATACCTTTTCCCTAAAGAACAGGAACACAAACTTCCAAGCAATTACGGGCAAAACAAATAATGCTTAAGATATTTTTGAGTAACAAAGCCCACAAAAAAGGGATGATAATCATAGTTATAAAAGGGAAAAAATACATACCTTGCTCTTTTTAGCCTCCAAGTCATCAGCTACTCCCAAAACTCTCTTGTTGCAGCTACTTTCCTCACTTTGTTGCACGTGCCTCACAACATCTGCAATTGTCATCGATAGCTCCTTCAAAGCCAACAATATCTTATTATCCCTCTCGGTCATTTTCTCGTCTCTTTGTTGAGCAGAAACTTCGCCAATTCTAGCGAAAATTGCAGCCATGACCAAATGGTGTACGGTGTACGGTGACCCTTTGGAGCATCCGCAGGTCGAGACTTATTGGGAAAATGTCAACCCAATTGGTGAGTCACTTTTCTTTTCTTGTTTTCTTTTGATGATTACTTTTCACCACCTACTACGGGCTCTAGGAACTTCCATGTCCACTTCCATCTGTCAAACTTCTCAACTTGTGACCGAGTGTTTGGCTTTGATTGCCTTGGAGTACTTTCTTCAATTATATTATATAATAATCAAAATCTAAAGGATTGGAGTGGTTAATTAAATAGGATTGCGTGCGAGAAAATTGAGTGGTCTATTCTCTTTGTTGGTAGATGACATTTTTATTTGTTTCAACAATGATGATTAAGCAAGTGAAGTTACACCTTAGTTTGGTTAACACCTTAGTTTGGTTTGCTTCTTCATTCAGGCGTTCGCAGTTGTTATTATGAGGGAAAGCGTACAGCTGAGACCTTGACTATGGATTATCACAGGGGCCTAAATATTGAGGTACTCAAATCATGGAGCGACCTTTAATTAATTAACCATTGATAGTGATGGAGCTAATTATTCTTTTTAAAAAAAAAAAAAAACCTTTTTCCTAGGTGAGAATTGCTAGGATCTTTAACACTTATGGACCACGTATGTGCATCGATGATGGGCGTGTGGTTAGCAATTTTGTTGCTCAGGTTTGCTTCCAATTAGTATATAGTTGTGTTCTTTCGCTTTGGAGATGCAATGGTCCAAAATGTAACGCTACTTTGCATTGCAGGCTTTAAGAAAGGAGCCATTGACTGTTTATGGGGATGGGAAGCAAACTAGGAGTTTCCAATACGTTTCTGATCTGGTAAAGGGTCTATGGCCTCTCTGCCTGCGCGTAAATTGAGCATTTCTTCTTCTATGTTTTGATGGATGCCATTTGTCTTTTAGAATTTGCTTCAACCTTGTCATTTCTCAGTCAATCTTGCGCTAGTTATTTCATTTAAGCATGATATGGATTCCAGGATATAGCAAAAGGGTTTGGCCTGTTGGTTTCTTTTACATTTTTATTTTTTGGGAGCTCCTTGCCAGAATTTGTTCCTAGTAAATTTCATCCAGTTTATTGAATGCGGGCCTGAAGAGAGAACTCGTACCATGTTGCATGATGTTGCAGGTTGAAGGTTTGATGAGGTTGATGGAAGGAGACCACGTAGGACCTTTCGAGTAAATAAATGTAAAAATCAATTTTTTGCTTGTTGAGTAATTTGATTTTGTTATATGGGCTAACTAAAATGCGAAAAGAAAAAAAGTGGGAAAAAATAAACCTTTTCCTCCTTGTGAAGTTCTTTGCAGTATTCTGTAAACGATGCATTTGGAAAGATGTTTCTGTGGATGAGTCTCTAGGGTATTAGTGATTTTTTATCTTGTCTTTCTTGGATTGATCTTCACATGGCTTGCAGTATAATATCTATTCTTATGGAGCAATGCCAGAATTTCTTTTGTGATGTGGACATACTGAGCTGCCTCAAATTGGTTACTATATATCCATACATATTTACTAATTGGGCGTGAGGGAAGGGGTATGCATGAAGGCTTTATGTATAGTTCTTTAACAGGATCGTCTCAAACTCATTTAGTATAAAAAGCTCCAATTTTGTTACCTTTCTATAAATTCATTGCTTTAGCATAGTTTTGACTTCTGATACTGGCAGCTTGGCTGTTGTGGCATAGGATTCATCTTCTGTGTAAGAAATAAAGAATCAAGAGCTCAGGAAATCCTAGCTGCGTTGGATTTAACCTTTCTTTCGCAAGATTAATTTTCTATATTTAGCATGAGGCATTAGATATTACCTATATTAATAAAATTTGGTCCATCGAGGAGAGCATGTGAATTGGAGTGAGTATTTTACGCAGAGGTGGAGCATAGTAGGATATGTATTGATGTACTTACTGAATGTTCGATGATTTAGGAAAAATATAGATCTGACTTTCAATTTAAGGAAGATATTAGCTCACAAACAAGAAGTAATAGTAATGCATATCTTTAACGAAGCATTGTTATGCATCTTTGAAGTAATCAGAAGTCTGTGTGGTGGTGATTGAGAATTGATCATGAAGGCCTACATTGTGGTTTTGCAGTATGTTGAGTACTTCTTGAATGGTCCTCGATGATTTTTTAAGATTGTTTTTTTCTTTTTTGGTTCTTTTGGTGTGGTGGTCTTGGAATGGTGGAGTTCTGCATATGGAGGCAAAAAAAACTCCTCTTGGATGGATTCCTGACTTTTAAGCAAAGAGAGAACAATAAAACTCCTGATGCAGTATGTTTTCTCTTTGCTTAAAAGTCAGGAATCCATCCAAGAGAAGCTCTTTTTGCCTTCATATGCAGAACTCCACCATACCAAGACAACCACACCAAAAGAACCAAAAAAGAAAAAAAATCTTAAAAAATCAACGAGGACCATTCAAGAGGTACTCAACATCAACAGGCCCAATATATATAGAAGTTGACCTTTGACAAACAAAAAAAAATCAACAGGCCCAATGGCTACCAGGAGAATAACTGTGTGAGCCATTACACTTCCAAATAGCTGCAAAAGGTTAAATCGGTAAATCAAACTGAGAATCTCCCATCAAGAGTTGTACCACATGGCTCAACAAAAAAATTCACATGGACAACAAAATTACTAAAACGCCAACCATCTTGGACAAACCAAAACCTTCAAAAGCTTGGAAAAGGGTAAATCAGTAACCCAAGCTAACATTCCCTTCTTTAAAGATTATACCACAAGCTCCATCAATGATTTACATAACATGAAAAAGTACAAAAAAAAAACCACGGGGAGGCAGACGAAAAGCTTAACAAAGTTGTTGCCAAAGTGCTTTCTATACTACATGTAGGATTACTATTTTTTGTTTGGAGCTTGAATTAAAATTTTTTGTTTGTCATATAATAAAGCCTTTCTGTAAAAATTTGACCAAGAATCGTGCCACCAAATGCAATTTTAAAGGAGAAAAACATACTTTATTAATACTTCAAAACTCTATAACAACGGGGCAACGTAATTGGTAGAAATATGTGCATGAGAAACACAATATTTCAAAATTATCAAGAATTCTACATTCAGAGAAACAAGATTCTTTCATTACTCATTAGTCAACACAAATGCATGCTGAGAAGGTATTGCGTACATCGCACATGCCACATGACATATCAAGTTGTGTACTAATACGAATTATTCATCAATAAATAATAGCGACGGACCGTTCCTTGTCTCATAAATATCAGATAAGGAATGGTGCACCACATTACTTGGTAACTTTTGATTGGTTTTAGTACAATATCATGTGGGCAAAATTCTCTAAATATTGTTGAAAAAAAAATCGGGAAAATGTGGCTAGTCAAGGGGATTTTTCTGAACATATGGCCCCCATGTTTTCAAAACAAAAAGGGCTGAAAATTTTTTCCTTAAATTCAAGGCCTCCTCGTTTCAGAAATGCGAGGACCCTTTTTGCACAATAGTCCCTTACATCATATACAGGGAGCAATTAGTAAAAGGTAATTGTTTAGCAATTTAAATTAGATATCCATCGCATTTTCTTAAATTTAAATGCTTAAAAGTTGCATCATAGTTATAAATTTCAACTTGACCCAATGGTCGAATCAGTCAATCCGATGAACCGGCAATAGGAGCGAGTTGGGTTGCTAATTAAATCAGTTAAGCAATAAATCCGTTAACTAGTGAACGACCCGACAGTTTAATCGGTGAATCGAGAAAAAAACTATCAATTGAACCACCAACTTAAAAATTTTATTATTTTTATAATTTGAAATATATTATTATGTTATATGATATACCTATCGTGCAACACGCAGTTGAACCGGTGACTTGGTCAGCTCTTTGGATTGAGTACCGAGTTGGGTTTAATAACTATGAGTTGCATAATTAGAACAATTTACATTTAAACCCTAAATTCTAAGTAATACAATTAGTTGCATAATTTAAATTATTTATTTATTTATTTTGATAATGTTCCATAGTTTTAACTTTTTTAGATAGTTAGAACAGGTACTCACGAAAGTCAAACAAAAAACTAATGAAGGCCTGCCATGTTTCTGAAACAATTATCTACAATTATCTTTTGTTAAACATGTACTTTTTGCTAATCAATCCCTTCATGTGGTGGTAGGGACTATTGTGCAAAAAAGGAGCCCTCTCGTTGGGCCTTGGATTTAAAAAAGAGAAAAAAATTTTAGCCTCGATGGTTTCAAAAACTTTAAAAAAAAAAAAAAAACCCTTGGCCAACCATATTTTTCGGACTTTTCTTTTTTCAACAATACTCATAAAAATTTGCCATGTCACATGGCATACGTGGTTCAACTAATATTCACTAAATCATTTTTCCCTAGAATACCACAAGATGCCTCGTACAAAAGCATCATGTGATTGAGGACTATTCAATTCTTTCTGTTCTCGGAGGATATAAGGAGGGCTACAGTGCTGCCTTTCGGCGAATGGCCAACAATCTCAAATTCAAAGTTGATGGTTCATTACAATCATGTAATAATACATGTCGTTTGTAATGTTTTCAATAGTTTTGTGATCATTCAAAACTAGAAATAGCTATTCACACTTCGAAATATAAAACTAGAAAGTGATTGCGGGTAAGTTAAGTAATGCTCGAAAATTTGTGTGGGATTGATGAGATTCAACGATTAAGAAGTGCAATTTGAATTAAAGTTGATTCATCCACTAAGGCCAGTTAGCTCCTGCATCCTCTTGAGCTAACTATCATCCATCAACTTCCCATAGATGAGTAATGAAGCAATAGTTGTAATACTATTAATGACCTTAATTGTAGCTAGTTATATAGCTGATTCATAAGATCAAAACTCGAGCTATACTACATGATATCACAAGGTTGAACATTTGTTATTAGCCATTGCTCGTGGTGTAATCTGAGCTTAGGATATCATAATCTGAGTTGACAAGGCAATAATGGAGTTGAATGATTAATTAACACCTATGGACAGAGATGAAATGCACGAGCAACCATCTCATAGTAGTGCCAAACAAATGTTTCCTAGTTGGCAAATGCTTTGCTTTGTTTGTTTTCCAAACGAGATTATAGTTGGGCAGTTGTAAATGTTTTTCTTGTTCTTTAGGGTTTTATAATTTCGATGCTCTCTTGCACTCAATTTTCTGGAAATATTTGATTATATCGAATGGAAATGGAAATATCTAATGATATCAAATGGTAATTAATTTTTGCTGTTTGGTCCGATTTTGGTTGAGGTCCTTGCAACTTTCGAAATTTCTATCATCACATTGATAATTGGCTTTGCTCAGTTGCCAGAATCATTCTCCATGCCGTCATTTACTCTCAGGCTACTGTTTTACTTTCATATGTTGGAATTTTTTGCAATTAATAAGAGATCTCATCATGGTGTCTAATCATAACAATTGCCTAGAACTGCATTGTCTATGTTTACACTACGGTCATGCCAAATCAGGATAAAAACATAGCAGCATACAAGCCATTCCTATCCTAGCCTGGATGGTTCAAGTTAAACATTTCTTGATCATCAGTAGCAGTAAACTAGAATCTGTCAGTTTGTTTGATGCCCATCAACTGGTGCAGATCATGAGTTTGATCACAAACTGGGTTATGAGCACAATAGTGCAAGCAACCGATAGGCCCAAAAAAAAAGAAAAGAAAAGAATGGTCAGTAGGCTCAAGAAAACTATCTATTTCTTTCTGATTGTCTTCCACCCAAATTCACATACATATTTTCAGCCACAAGAGTATCTAATCATCAGCATAATTACTTAAGTAGCAATTCAACCAACCAAACCCAAAACTTCTGAAAAGTCATATCATAAGCAACACAAAAAGACTTGTAGTCATTACCAATCATTTACTAGCAAAAAATTACATCATGATCAGTCTCCTGATAACCTCGCCTTCAAACAGGTAACCAGCCTAATAAAAAACAACACAATAGTTTCAGAATATGAACCAAAAGCAAAATAAAATGCTAACTATAGAAAGGAAGAGAGGTAGAAAAGGATAACTTTCCTTCCATAAAGACAAAAGGATAACTATCTCGCCTATATGGAGTGTTTCTAATCTAATCAGTTTGATAACCTATTATATACCTGATTCACATGAACAATCATGTTAAGGTTATGATTGGCTTTGATCACAAAGTGATCTATGCGGTGCTTATTGGAATCGAAGGAATCCCCCACTTGTGGGGTGAATTTCTCCACACCATAGGATGGGAGAATCTAACCAACGAAAAAAAAAATTCAAAGCTCAATTAATCAAGTAAAAGAAGAAACGATTAAAATACTATGAACCCAAAATCATTGATTGAAACTAAAAAAGTTCCAAACCCTGTCGAGGCTTGCTTTAGGAATGGTCTCGTCTGCCAACAAGCTTTTTGCAAGAGCCTGCATTTATAAAAGATAAAGTACTAATACTATCATAAAGCCCACGTCACCATCAACACATTAAGTGTTATAAAACTAATAAAATAAATTATTATAATAGAAATTGAAATATTAGAGAAAGAAATAGAGAATTAGAGAATGATGTTTTTATTGTTCCAACTTCTAACTAATCAAAAAAGTACACCCAAGAAGTGTCAATGTGCCTCTATATATAGGTACCACAAAATTAAAGGTATATCAAATCTATTAAACACACATTATTAAAAGAACATGAATAGCTATATGAAACGGTTCATCCAACGTAATTTCTTTACATAATATAGTAATGAATTATGAATTAATCCTCTTGGAATCATTGAATTATGAATTAATCTTCTTAAGAATACAAATAAACATCCACACTTTTACTTGTTTCATAACACTCCCCCTTGGATGTCAATTACACAGAGAATATATCTCGTTAAAATCTTATTAAGAAAAAATTTAATGGGACAAAAATTCTAGTGAAGAAAAAAGAGTACACTATTCCTGTGTATTAATTTCTCCCCCTAATGCAAACATCATTTAAGATCTTTTAATCGTCGCATTCCAATATTCTTTACCAATTTCTCAAATGTTGTAATCGACAATGCCTTGGTAAATAAATCTGTCAAATTATTATCTGATCGGATTTGTTGTACATCAGTTTCATCATTCTTTTGCAAATCATGAGTAAAAAAAGAATTTTGGTGAAATATGTTTCGTCTTATCTCTTTTAATATATCTTCTTTTCAATTGAATTATACAAACTGCATTATTTTCATATAATATAGTTAGAGAATTTTTGTTTTCGAAAGATAACCCACAATTCTTCCGGATGTAGTGGGTCATTGATTTTAACCAAACACATTTTCGACTAGTCTCATGAATTGTTATTATTTTAGTATGATTCGATAAAGTGACGGTTAATAATTACTTTGTAGATCACCAATTAATGACTATACCTCCATATATAAATAGATAACCAGTCTGAAATCTTGTTTATGCGGATTAGATAAATACTCAGCATCAATATAATCAAACAATTCAGGTTTGAATTTATTTGAATAAAAAAAATCAAAATCAATTGTTTCTTGGAGATAGCGAAAAATATGTTTAATATTATTCCAATGTCATCTTGTGGGCGAGAAACTAAATCTTGCTAATAAATTCAATGCAAATGATATATCAGGTCTTATACAACTAGCTAGATAAACTAGTGCACCAAATGTCTCTTCATCTTTCTCTTATGGTTTAAAAGGATCCTTATTAGGATCTAATAATCTGACGATCATTAGAGTACTTAATATATGTATCTCATTCATATAAAATAGCTTTAATACTTTTCGAGTATAAGTAGTTTGATGGACAAAAATTTCACCTTTCAAATACTCAATTTATAAATCAAGACATAATTTTGTTTTTTTCAAAATTTTTGATCTCAAATTTCTTTTTTCAAATATTCAATAATATTTTGAATCTCTTCAAAAGTTCCAATAAGATTTATATCATCAATATATACAACAATTATCCCAAAATTTGATTTGATTTGCTTTGAATAAATATTTTTAGTATTTGATTTGCATGCTTCACGTATGTTAAATCTTTCGGAGATTCTCATATAAATATCATTTTTAATATTTTCATATAAATATGTAGTAATGACGTTCATTAGACGCATATTTAGTTTTTTATGCACTTCAAAACTCATAAGATATCTAAATGTGATAGCATCCACTACAAATAAATACGTTCATCGTAATCAAATCCAAACCTTTGTGAAAATTCTTGAGCTACAAGTCATGCTTTGTACCTCACAATTTCATTTTTCTCATTTTTTTTTCTCACAAATACCCACTTATATTCTACTGACTTTATACCTTCAGGTGTTTATACTACAGGTCAAAACCTTTTTTTTAACCAATGAATCCAATTCAAATTGGATCGCATCTTTTCATTTTGGCCAATCATTTCTACGTCGATATTCATCAATCAATCTAGACTCATGATTCTCGTCATTTGCCACAATATCAAATGCTATATTATATGCAAAAATATTCTCAACAATTATTTATTTTCGGTTTCAACTATTTCTTGAAGTGACAAAATTTATTGAATTTTTTATAATTTTATTCTCTGTAAGAATTGACTCCTTACAAGCGACCTCTTCAGGAGATTGAATTTTGTCACTAATTATTAATTTATCTACTCTTCTTTTCTTTCAAAAATTTTTATTTTTGGAACCAAAAGGTCTCCCATACTTCAGGCGCACTTGAAACTCATTAGCACTTATAATTTGTTCTTGAGGGACATTAATTTTAATCGAAACATTTTCAACAGGAATATGTGATTTAGTAACTTTTTTGGAATCATTAAATGCATTCAGTAATTGATTTACAATTTTTTACAAATGTATAATCTTTTGAATTTCTAATTCATATTCTTTAACACGAGAATCAAAGAAATCCAATGATATTTTCCAAGTGATTTTCTTTTTCGGTTGATTTTTATTTCCCCCTAATATCGAAAAATATAATTCATCAAAATGGTAATCTACAAATTTTGCAATAAATAAATCACCTATCAATGGTTCTATATACTAAATAATTGAAGGTGATTCATATCCGACGTATATCTCCAATCTTTTTTAAGGGCCCAATTTATGACGTTGGGATTGTGCAATTGGAACATATACTGCACAATCAAATATTTGTAAATTAGAAATGTTGGACTCATAATCAAAAGTTAATTATAGGGGTGAATAAATATAATAACTTGTCGGTCTAATTCTTACAAGTATTGCTGCATGTAATATAATATGTCCCAAACAGATGAAAGAAGTTTAGACCTTATCAACAATAATCTATCAATTAATTGTAACTGTTTAATAAATTATTCGACTAGACCATTTTGTGTATGAATATAAGTTGCAAGATGTTCAACAGTTATTCCAATGACCATACAATAATCGTCAAAAACATATGATGAATATTCGCCAACATTATTTAAACTAATTTTCTTTATTGGATAATCTATAATTATACTCGCAACTTAATTATTTGAGTAAGCAATCATGCAAACGTCAGGTTGCGAGTTGATAATAAATATACATGTGACTATTTAGTTGATGCATCACTTAGCACCATAAAATATTAAAATGATCCACATGATGAATCTACAAATTCACATATATCACCATGAATTCGTTCTAGAAATGTAGGGGATTCAGTCCCAACTTTAACTGGCGATGGTCTAATAATTAATTTTTCTTGGGAACAAACAACACAGAAGAATTCATTTGCTTTTAATATCTTTTGATTTTTCAATAAATGACCACGTGAATTCTTGATTATTCATCCCATTATTATAGATTCAGGATGTCCGGGACGATCATGCCAAATCATAAAATCATTGGGATGAGTAGACTTCTGATCTATTAGGTGATAAATTTCAACTGCACTAATTTGTGCATAATATAAATCAGAAGAAAAAGAAGGTAATTTTTCTACTACATCTTTCCGCCTAAAAATGATACTTGTGATTAATAAACATTCTCTATTTGTCTTAGTCATTGTCTAGATATGATATCCATTTTCACAAATATTTTTAAAACTCAATAAATTTCTCCGAGACTTGAGAGAAAGTTGTGTATTATTTATGATAATTTTAGTCCCTTCAAGAAGAAATAGAATGGCTCTTTCGAAACTTTCAATCAATTTTGCACTACCACTAATGGTATTAACATTTGTCTCTCCCATTTTCAAATAAGAAAAATATTATTTATTTTTCAATATAGTGTGCGTAGTAACACTATCAATGAGACAAATGTCATCATCACCATTATTTAATCCCAAATATTTGGCATCCATTTCTCAATAAGTAGACAGAAGTTGACGGAAAAACACGAGCAGAATTTCAGCAGAATCTCTTGTTTCACTTTTACTCAAGGTAGAGGCTCCGTTTTCACTTTTTTTGCTCAAAAGTAGAGACTCATGCTGATAACGTGTTATAAAACTAATAAAATAAACTAGTATAATAGGAATTGAAATATTAGAGATGGAAATAGAAAATTAGAGAATGATGAACTAGAAAATTAGAGAAGAAAATAGAAAATTACATAATGATGTTCTTATTGTTCCAAGTAATCAAAAAAGTACACCCAAAAAGTGCTAAGGTACCTCTATATATAGGTATTACAAAATTAAAAGTAAATCAATTTTAGTAAACACTCATTACTACAAGAACATGAATAGCTATATGAAACGGTTCATCCAATACATGAATAGCTCTTATGGATTGAAAACACTTTTAGTTGATTCAATCCATTAAGCAATTAGTCTTTATTTAAGAAACATTAACAATATTAAGCTATTAGTCTTTATTTCACCAACACTGACCAATTAGATGTAGCAAAAAAAATGAGGATTAACCTATTAAACATTGATGTTGAATGAAAAACTCAGAAATGTTGAACAAAAGTATACAATACTTTTTTGAGCAACATTTAAACTTTTAGCTAAAATATAGCATTATAACTTTTAGCCGAAATAGCAAACCAAGCCACCTTACCCCCACTCATCCATTTATTATACACCCGTATATTAACCCTAAGATTTTTTTTAACATATAAAGGCATGTCTTTAACCAAAAAAAAAAATCATCCAGAGACGAAAATTTAGTAAAAACATAACTTAAGGTAATACAACCCAAAAGGGTGGAAAATAGGGGAAAAGAATACAACCCAAAAAGGGGGAAAATAGAAGAAAAAAAAACGTATCAAATAGAGTACTTTGAGTCTTTTTTGAGCCTCTAAGTGATCAGCTCCTCCTAGAATCTTCAGTGGCTGGTTCTTGTTGAGGATCCTTTCCTCACTTTGCCGTACATGCCTTACAATATCTGCAGTGGTTAGAGATAGATCTTTCAGAGCCATTAGTGTCGTGTTATCCTTCTCAATCGTTCGCTCTTCTTTTTGTTGAGAAGCAAGTTCACCAATACCAGCAAAAATCGCAGCCACAGCAAAGTTGTTGAGAAAGCCTTTTCCTTGTTCAGATTTTAGAAGCCTAAACAATTTGTTGATCGCCATTTGTGGGTGATTCTGAAGACTAGTTTTTTCTGAATTGAATGGGCAAGTTGCGGGTGTCCAACAATTAATCGCTGGGATTAAGCAGTGATACCTTTTCCCTAAAGAACAGGAACACAAACTTCCAAGCAATTACGGGCAAAACAAATAATGCTTAAGATATTTTTGAGTAACAAAGCCCACAAAAAGGGATGATAATCATAGGTATAAAAGGGAAAAAATACATACCTTGCTCTTTTTAGCCTCCAAGTCATCAACTACTCCCAAAACTCTCTTGTTGCAGCTACTTTCCTCACTTTGTTGCACGTGCCTCACAACATCTGCAATTGTCATCGATAGCTCCTTCAAAGCCAACAATATCTTATTATCCATCTCGGTCATTTTCTCATCTCTTTGTTGAGCAGAAACTTCGCCAATTTTGGCGAAAATTGCAGCCATGACCAAATTGTTGAGAAATCCTTTCCCTTGTTCAAATTTTAGGATGGTAACCAATTTCTTGAAGGCCATTTTCGGGGTGATTCTGAAGACTAGAAAAATTCGGGCATGTCATCTTGTATTATATTATCCATGAAAGTATATGGAATACTTTTAATGTGAAGATTGTTTGTTGTCCTACTTTTAGAATAGACAATGAGGAATTATATTTTTGTATTTACACCTATTAAAAATATTTTTAACCGTATCACTACATAAATAGACAATCGGTTTTTATTAACTATTTATTTTCTAAAATAAATATTTTAGGCTCCGTTTGGATTAGCTGTTTTTGGGATTATTTTTCAAAATACAGCACTGTAGCATTTCGTTCTTGAAATACAAGTCCGTTTGGATTAGTTATTTTTGGGGCTATTTTTCAAAAACTATATGAAAAACTTTTACTGTAGATGTTTTTTGGATTATTTTTAGAGGTATTTTTAAAACATATTTTTGAGTTTTTTTATAAATTATAAATTTTATAATGTTTATAATTTTTATATTTATATACATTTATAATACATTTATAAATATTTATAAATAAATATATTTATATATATATAAATATAAATGTATTATAAATGTATTATATTATAAATAATACATAATATAAATATATTTATAAATGTATATTATTATAATGTATACATTATAAGTGAATATTATATAAATGTATAAATTATAATTTTTAATTTTTATATTTTCATATAAATATACATTTATACATTTATAATACATTTATAAATATTTATAAATAAATATATTTATATATTTATATATAAATGCATTATAAATGTATTATATTATATATAATACATAATACAAATATATTTATAAATGTATAAGTGTATATTATTATAAATGTATAAGTTATAAATGAATATTATATAAATGTATAAATTAATATATTATAAATATATATTAATATTATGTATAAATGTAAAATTAAAATTATGTATATTAATATAAATGTATAAATGTATTATAAATGTATTATACTATATATAATACATAATATAAATGTATATTATAAATATACACTAATATATATATTATGTATAAATGTACATTTATATAAATGTATAATATATATAATATATAATATATACTATATTATATATAATTTATATAATAGATAATATTTACATAAATATATAAATATATTTTTTTAAAATAAAATGAAATATTTTTAATATGTATAAATAAATATATAAATATTTAATATATATATAATATACATTAATATTAATTATAAATGTTATAATATTATAAATATGGTGTTTATATAATATTTCAATTTGTAATATTTATTGTATATTTCATTATATAAATATTTATATAATTTATAATTTATAAATCTATAATATATAATTTTCAATTTGTATAATATACATAATATTGTATATATAATATAATATACATAATATAATATATTTTACATAATATACATTTATACATTATTACATATCTTGTATATTATATATTATACATAACATTATTATACATTATTATACACAATAGTGTACATAATAATATTATACATTAATAATGTATATAAAAAATGTACATAATATATTATGTATAAATATTTATACATTTATGTATACAATATTACATATTATGTATATTACATTATATTATGTATAATATTAATGTATATAAATATTTATATAATATATAATATATAAATATATAATTTTTCAATTTGTATATTTCAATTTATATTAATATAATATACATAATTGAAATATACAAATTGAAATACACCTATGGAGTTGTTTTTTATATAATATTTGGATATGGTGTTTTTGGAGTTGTTTTGGAAATACACATTTACTGTAGCATTTGGAATGTGAAAAATAATTTTTCAAAAATAGAGGCAAAAACAAGGAATCCAAACAGACTCTTAGTTTTATTCAAAATTTTTAATACTAAAATGAATAAAAAATTATTAAATCTTTGAATCGGGGTCGAACTGATCGAACCGTGAATCGGAAGATTTTTCGGTTCACTCTCTGGTTCGGATTTAAAAACATTGGTATGCAAAGTGGGAATTTATTTGAAATAATTGCTTAAGCAGCAATTCAACCAACCAAACCCAAAAATCTATATGAAAATAAAAGCTTAAAGAATATGAAATTTGTGAATAGCAACTATAGAAAGAAGAACTTGGATTACTTCCAAAGTTTTTTTACGATTTGTGAGTGATTGGAAGTTGAAAAATCTCACATCAGTAGTTTTTGAAGATTAATAATGGTTTGTAGATAAAAGACCGGACAAATAAGAATTGCATCTCCTCTTTCACAAGGAGGGGAAAAAAAAGAGAAGCAAATAAAAATAAACGACTCCATCATATTTTGTTTTCCAAATAATTGAGAACATTATTCATGTCAATCCCCAAAATCTACAATTGTAAAATCATTAGAATAATTTAAAAAACCTTGTGATAAAATTGTCATCAATTGTTTGGTAAAAAAAACTTCTTATTTGGTCACTTGTCTCATAGCATCTCCCTAAACTATCCATTGTTCTATAAGCGATACCAATCCATAAAAAATCATTCAATTAAACCAAATATCATTTTTTTGGATATTTACAAAATAAAAGAAAATAACAATCTAGAGCAACGTGTATATTTGCATGTTTAGCAAATATTAACCTCAACATTTTAACCCAGAGAAAAAGCTCTGTATAGGGTAGTAAAACCTTGAGTTTTTAATTTTTACTGAGAATCTTTGACCACTTGCCTTTTGTTCGTAATTTTTTCCTATGCCCCCAATTGCTAAAGCCCTAACCTCAAACGCCTCTCGCTTCAGGCTCTCAACTCCTCCTCTCTCAAGCTCTGTCTGTCTCACCCCCTTTCTTTCTCTCTCTACAGCTTCTCCATCGCCTATTTTCTGGTAAGTGGCCTTTCTATTTACTGATTTATTTACTTTATACACATATATTGCATTCATCTTCTCCCATATTCTTTTTTTTCCCATTTTCCTTTGGGATATTTTAGGACAGAAATTTTGAATCTTATTGTTAGTATGCTAGAATTCAACGGTAGAAATAGGAATTTGTTTGCTAAAATTGATGAAAAAAGTGGGTTTATCTGGGATTTGCCTTTAGCTCTTGCGGGTTTTCTGCAATCCCATTCTCTTCTGAACAAAGCCCTAGCAGTGCTATGGTGGAAAATTTATCGATTTTATTGGGTCTGGTTTTGAACGTACCCTTTTTCGATTTTAGGGTTCTTATTTTTAGGGAAAATTAAAGTAAAAATCAATTTTTTTCCTTGCTGAGTAATTTGATTTTGTTATGTGGGCTAACTAAAATGGGAAAGGAAAAAAAAGTGGGAAAAAAGAAACCTTTTCCTCCCTGTGAAGTTCTTTGCTGTATTCAGTAAACGATGCATTTGGAAAGATGTTTCTGTGGATGGGTCTCTAGGGTATTAGTGATTTTTTATCTTGTCTTTCTTGGATTGATCTTCACATGGCTTGCAGTATAATATCTATTCTTATGGAGCAATGCCAGAATTTCTTTTTGTGGGGTAGACACTGAGCTGCCTGAAATTGGTTACTATATATCCATACATATTTACTAATTGGGCGTGAGGGAAGGGGTATGCATGAAGGCTCTATGTATAGTTTCTTTAACAGAATCGTATCAAACTCATTTAGTATAAAAAGCTCCAATTTTGTTACCTTTCTGTAAATTCATTGCTTTAGCATAGTTTTGACTTCCGATACTGGCAGCTTGGCTGTTGTGGCATAGGATTCATCTTCTGTGTAAGAAATAAAGAATCTAGAGCTCAGGAAATCTTGGTTGCTTTGGATTCAACCTTTCTTTCATAAGACTAATTTTCTATATTTAGCATGAGGCATTGGATATTACCTATATTAATAAAATTTGGTCCATCGAGAAGAGCATGTGAATTGGAGTGAGTATTTTAATGCAGAGGTGGAGCAAAATAGGATATGTATTGATGCACTTACTGAATGTTCGATGATTTTGGAAAATATAGATCTGACTTTCAGTTTAAGGAAGATATTAGCTCATGAACAAGAAGTAATAGTAATGCATATCTTTGAGGAAGCATTGTTATGCATCTTTGAAGTAATCAAGAATATTCCAGGTTTTTAACTACCTTATTTTGTGCACTTACTGGCCTTGTTTGTGAATCCCTCAAAGCAAGTGAAAAGTGAAAGTTTTCTTAGCTTAATGCTGGTTTGGACATTAGCATCCACTAAAATTCTTTCTGATTCATGTAAGCTGGGAGAATCTATTGTTGGTGAAGCCATGATTTGGTACTTATTTTTGTCATGCAGTTTTTTGAAACCTTGTAACTTGGTTATTTGGGTCTTCCTTGGAAAAAAGAAATAGCACGCATGTCTGGTCTGTAATGGAAGTCTATGCTAGTGATGTCATTGATCTGCTAGCTAATTGATTGGCTTTTGTTTGATGCAGGTTGAATTGCTTTGTGTGGTGACCCGCTGCCCTCTCGCTGAATTTGGAAAATTGTTCTTGTAAATTACAAAGTTACTGAA